CTTTGTTGTCATTCACTATATCATATAAAAATGGCAGAAGAAAACAATATTGAAATTTAACAACAGTCATTTCACCTCTTTTGTATTCTTCTTGCAAAATACCTCAAGAAAAACTCAAGAAAAGCCATGAAGATACTAAACATGATCTACAATTGTTCTCTTGCAAAAAGTAAATCCACATTCAGAATTAGAATGGAGAGCTTTGATGTGTAGATTAATGTTTTGGTATTGAGAAATGTCCCTGTGTTATGTCAGAATGATATTATAAATGAAAAAATATATATTATTGCTCTATTTAATTTGTGGTTAATATTGTGGCAATTTTGAAATTTAAAAAACAAAATATGTATGTAATGGTTATGAAACATGGATACTACTTTCCAAATTCCAAAATACAGGGAGCATCCAGAGTTGAACTGGAGGCCTGTTGATCTGCAGTCAAACGCTCTACCACTGAGCTATACCCCCATGTCATTTTGTGACTTTTTACCTTGACTCTGCCTTACTCACATCAGAAAATGTCCATTTCTTCCTCACTTTTTAGGACCTACTCTTTTGATGTTGCAAGTGACAACATTGAATTTGGAGATGTGAGTCTACACAGACATTCTGTGTTCGTTTGTCTCTCCTTCTTGTCCTCTCAACCAGCCGGTCAAAGCAGATGGCCGCTTGTCCTGAGCCTGGTTCTGCTGGAGGTTTTCTTAAAAGGAGTTTTTCCTTTCCACTGTTGCCACTGTGCTTGCTCAGGATGGGAGACTGCAACGAAGCCAAGATTCAACTTGTCTGCTGGATTCCTTAGATAGAGAACTTTACTAATTGGCTTTTATGTATGTGAATGTTCCTGTAAAGTGCCCTGAGACAACTTATTGGGATTTGGAGCTATATAAATAAACTGAACTGAATTGAATTGAATTGAACAGCCAACATGAGTCAACAAAATTTGTGGAAAAACTCACCAATAGAAAAATGGTAGAAGAAAACACTATTTGAGTTTAAGAACAGTTGTTTCACCGCTTTTGTAATTCTTCTTACAAACAACTTCAAGAAAAACTCACGGAAAGCCTTGAAGATACAAAACATGATCAACTGTTCTCTTGCAACAAGTAAGGCCACATTCACAATTAGAATCTAGACCTTTCATGGCTATAACTATGATCTGGCATTGAGAAACTCACTGTGTTATCTTGGATAGATAACATAAAAGAAAAAAGTTGTAATCATTCCTTTTAATTTATAGAAAAAATACTTGCAATTTTGAAAGTTTAAAGTAATAGAATCTGTAAATGTAGACAAAAATGGTTAAAGTGTATTAAACACAGAATGACAGGGAGCATCCAGAGTTGAACTGGAGACCTGTTGATCTGCAGTCAAATGCTCTACCACTGAGCTATACCCCCATGGCTAATCTGAGCTATTTACCTTGACTCTGTCTTACTCACATCAGAACGTTTACATTTGTTTATCTCACCCATTTCTTCCTCAGTTTTTATGACCTACTCTTGATGTTCCAAGTGACAATAGTGAATTTGGAGATGTGAGTCTACAACTGACATGAGTCAACAAAATTTGTGTTTAAACTCACCAATAGAAAAATGGTAGAAGAAAACAAGATTTGAGTTTAAGAACAGTTGTTTCACCACTTTTGTAATTCTTCTTACAAACAACTTCAAGAAAAACTCAAGAAAAGTCTTAAAGATACAAAACATGATCAACAATTGTTCACTTGCAAAAAATACGGGGACATCCAGAACTGACATTGAGAATTTTGATGTTTAGATTAGTGCTCTGGCATTGAGAAACACACCCAGTGTCATCCTAGAATAATATTAAAATTGAAAAAAAGTTGCTATTAGTCCCTTAATTTATACTTTATTTGGGGGCAATTTTGAATGTTTAAAAAGGAATTGAATATGTAAAGGGTCAAACATTTGTTTATTGCTTTCTGCCTTCTGAATGTGAGGGAGCATCCAGAGTTGAACTGGAGACCTGTTGATCTGCAGTCAAACGCTCTACCACTGAGCTATACCCCCATGTTCTTTTGTGCAAATTACCTTGACTCTGTCCTAATCAAATCAGCATGTCTACAGTATTTATTTGTTTATCTCACACATTTCTTTGTTGTTTTTAATAACTTAATCTTTTGAGGGTCCAAAAACGACAAAATCAAGCAGAAGATTTAAGTCCACATCTGACTAGAGTCAGTGATAATCACAATAACGTCAATTCAAGTAAAGGTTCTTTGTTGTCATTCACTATATCATATAAAAATGG